GATCGGAAAAGCAAAAAGAAGAGAGCAAGGCTAAATGACGCGAAGTTGAGAAAGTTTGTACGACAACTACCTTTAATCAAGCGTTTGTCAGTATTTACAGTCACAGAAAAATAATCGACATATATGTGATGAGTAGAATAATATGTACACACACATACGTTCCTATAAAAAGCCAGTGTTGATAAGCGAATAATTAGTAAGGTCAAAACGTGACTCAAGAAGAATGGAAAAATTGGCCTGTCCAGAAGCTAGAAGACGTTATGTGAGCTTAACATGGTAACCGACTAAACAGTTTCGACTATAGTCAGCAAACGTTTTATTTGGCACATGAGTTCTGGACCTTTGTCGTACTAGCATGAATACAATCATTTATAGTCGAGAACTATACCTAAATTTCTTTCGGAGAAACTAACGACATTGATAATAGGCTTCTAATGTATTTTTTACTGATTTTCCGTATCCCTATAATTAATTGGTGTATAGAGAAAAAAACGCTCATTTGACGAAGAGACTACATTCATTTTAAAATAAATTTAGCAGAAGCTAGAATACTTGGAATTTTGAGTGAAAATAGTAAGAACAATGTGATTTCTGGTAGAAGCATAAAAAATGGTATCGGTAATTGAAAATAAACCGTTAACTAGTTCAGTACACTAGGATTACTGAAGTCAGAGACAAGTGACGTTCAGTTATTTAACTGGTAATATCGGAGTAATATTTTCAATCAGAACAGCACGCAGGTCCATGAGTTCAGCTTATAGTGACCTACTTTTATCAAGCGAACGCGATTGGTGTGATGGAAACAATTATTATTATAACCGATTGTACCAAGGATTGTTTTACCGTACTTGTTTGTTTAGCTGTACCAAAATACATACATTCTTCCTTTGATTGTGACCTTGCACGAGTTCGATTACGCTCAGTAACCACACTTGTACCCTGGCACGATCTCGGTTTTCTTTCGATACCACGATATCGCAAACAAGTACATCTCGACTACAGCCATCAACTGCCCTCTGATATTCGGCCTACAGGGGATCTTATCGGTTAACTGGCACGTAGTCTTTCTGTAGCGGTGATCATAGTCAGCGGCGACCCGACGCCACACTACAAGCTTGTGGTCAAGTGACTTTAAAGCATCTTGCTCCAATCCGGTTCGGTATGACCACTGAGAGTACCATGAAGTCCAATCCAGATATCACTGAGTTTTTTGTCCCCTTTCTAACTCCAGTGCACATACGATCATAAGTTATAATATTCTAAGGAACAAAACGTTGTGTACGAAATATATTTAGAGGGATATACATCGTGCAGCCGTATCAGCATATAAAGCAATAGCGTAAGTGGACAAAAGTAGCATAGATACTGGGATATTTGGAAATTCAAATCGCTATTTGTGAAGCGTGTTGAAATAGCAGCAAATAAAGTTGGGAAATAAATGAAGACCCATTTACCGAAAGTATACTAATGAGCATAAAACGGTATAAATATACAAGAAGCAAATCACGACGCCCATACAATAAGACAAATATGGTAAATTGTGTTGAAAATTACAAGTATATGGTGATGTGTTTGAGTACCAAGCTACAAACCAAGTGGTAGGATAGAAAAGTGTTACATTATGTCTGATTTTGTTATCTGTTTCAATAAGAATAAACTTATATTGGAATGTAGAAGCCACTACAGGTTCATCTTAAAATAATGCATTGAAAAGCCAGAGGTAGACTAGATACAACATGACAAATATAAACGTTCATGAATTGTCATAAAAGTCCATACTATTTAGCACTGGATAAATGCACGATTCGGAAGATGTCACTTCAACCATAAGGGTAATATATAATGGATTACTGAATGGCCAGTTGACCGAGTTTCGTTGTATTTGCAAATATCGTATACAACGTCATCTCATTCGAGATCATTGAGCAAAGTCACACTAAATTATAATGGAATTACTCGTAGCGTTATCACAGGTAACTCTACCGATTATAGTACTAGGATATGTGGAAACAATTGTCAGTGAGACACATGAATCAGGACCAGTGGGCGAGTTCCAACAAAAATACTATTACCGACACTAATGAGCAGCTCAATAGTGATGTGTCATTTCTAAAAATATATTTGTCAATGAATTTTTAAATTTGGAACAATTGACATCTATTTGTCGACAATGAAATTCCCGTTTCTGGAGCTCACGCACTCATTTTTGGCTGAACCAATACTCACTGTGTCATGTTTGTTTGTGTATACTTATGTCACGGTTGAGTTAGATGATAGTATCAACGCATAATCCTGCAGTTGCATGTTATTAAAGTTGTACTTGAGACTTTAGATGCACGTTTTTGGCTTGCTTTTATGCACCAGGACTGTGTTAGAATGTTCTATAATCCATTCTATTTCTTCATGGGCTTGTTGTTTGATCGTCATGTTTTATCGTAATAAACTTTATTGTATTTTATGTTCATGTTCCTACTTAATGACACAAGCGATTGTAAATGTTGTATTCCTCTAAGACCTAAGCGTAATTTGTGAATGAGTTCTTACAGAACCGGCTCCAAAATCAGAAATTATAGCATCTATCTCATTGATATACTTAACTATGAGCACGTCATTTGGAAGCAGCGTTGTTCTTTACAGTTGTCATAAACACAGAGTTTCCAATGGTTTATTTTCTAAAGAGAGTTCTTGTTATGTGGGAGAAGCTACGACTCACTAACATAACCATAAAAATATATACGAAGAAAACTTTCAGCCAAAGGACTATTTTTTTTAGTTAAATTCACGTATAATATTTCAAAAGCTAACTTCTGGGTGTAAATGTATCAAACGCGATAACATGTGATGAGCAATTGACAAGCGTAGGCTTGATTGACCTATCTGGATCTTCACAGATGATATTCACACGAAAATGCTACCAAAGTTACTTTGCTGAACGTCGGAGAATTATATTCTAATTCATTATTAGTACTATTATAATAATAGACCTGATCCTAAAACTGAAGATACGTCATGATGTGGCTGCCTAATCTATGGGATCTGACGTCTGAGTCGCATCACTGTCCACACTGACTCTTCGCATCATAACAATATGATGTCTGAAGTTTCTAGAAAACATATTTAGGCTAAAGATAGAATGATATATTTAGTGTGAGTAAAGACACGTCATCCAGAATGACTACGTCTGCAATGCCGAGCCATGCTATCTCTTTGAACGTATGAATATTCCCGACGTTCACCATTGTTCGCCTTCTCTCCATGTTAAACGTTGAGTATTTATTTTCCCAGTTATCTCAATGTTCAGCTTTGAGGATTATGTGGGTAGAACTAATACAAATTCATCTCTATTAAGTGTAACTCTAGTCTCAATACACTTTGCGAAATAAATTTTATTGACATCTCACGAAACTCACAGATGTGGTATGCAGCAGCGACGTTGACTATCACGGCATAAATCTTGACACTGCTATAACAATTAACATGCCTTAGCTACCTCGTCCGTTCAACCTTATGACCAATGAGTCTTCACGTCCGATGACTGTGGACTTCAGAAGGCAAGAAGATCTAACTAAGGTCCTCCAGGCTGTGTATGGCTGGAGGAATGACATATCCAGCATCAGACAATATGGGGGCCGAACTATATCGGCAAGATTACAGCAGAAATGCCCTATGGAACACAATACAATGTCGATTAACATTGGCCAGCAACTGATGATACGAGACACCGAGGCTACGGTTTCACTAATGGTGTTCGCTGTAAAGGCAAAAAAACTTGAAGCGGTCATTTCCTACAGAACTTACTACCCACCATAAACGACGATTCGTTCAAAGCCGTGAAAATGAATGCTACCATAGAGAAGCACCTAGTGATGGGATAAACCATCAAATACCTATACACCAACTTAAAAGGACTAAATGGTAAGTGAGTAGGAATCAGGTACATGTGATTTTAGTTCAATCTGAAGATCATAGTTCTAACCAAAATAGCTCTCCACTCAAATCAAGAATGATGAAGTAAGAATTGAAGATATGACACTTGTTCGACGAGATAGGGTAAAGAAAGCTGGAGGCGAAGAGGCTATTCATATTAAACCCACTTTAAAGCCTTAACGCTAGACAGTACCGAACTAACAGGAGTAACAGAACTATACTTGTTTTGCTTCGACGCAAACAGCACCCAGTACATGATAGGAGGAGTAATTTTGGCATTCTCAAGTACTAACGCCCAGAAAGATAAGAACAACCCTATAGTATTACTGTGGTGCATGCTACTTATGTCTGTCGTAATAAGTACTATGTAATACTAATCGGAAGTAGAAAACTTGGCAGCGGAATTCTATGAATACAGAAATAGAATTAGAAGGGAATTGTGAGTCTGAAGAGACATACCGAATATGAAAACAAATGTTGGAAATTTGCAAATGAAGTATTTACTGTATGGTTCTCATATTTTACAGAGATACTCTGTAACTTTGTATTAAAATTCATTTGGTTGTTTCTATCTGAGTAATCGTTCATCACGTCACAACTATTACACCTTAAGTTTGACTGAATACTCTTAGTTGGAGATCTTAACACTCTATCTCTTAATCTCAGCTAATAGGATATCAACCAAACAGGATGGTTTCAAAAGCGGCTCTTCGTAGCCATCAGAATTTTGGGACTGACTGAATATGTGAGTGGTGCCGCGAGATTGGGTAAGGATTAGACTATTTACCAATAAATAATCTGATCCATTTAAAGTAGTAACATTGTTGCAGTTATATTCAACGTGGTCACAAAAGAGATACTTCTGAGGAATGAGAATGCTTCCTGCCTTTATTACATTAAGGCAGAATACATGACCATGACAGAGCATCTTCAACAGGCAACATGGACATCAGATTGTTGGAGACCAACATTAAAGATAAACAGGTGTAGTGACTCACGTTTATCACGAGAACACGACTGGTTTAATAAAAACAATTATTATTATAACCAACTGTACCAGTGTTTGTTTTAATGTGCTTTTGTTTGACTGTGCTAATGACAGCTATTTTGTGCTTCCATTCACTTACTTACACTTTGATTGTAACTTCGCGCGAATTCGGTTACCTTCTGTAACCAAGGTTGTATCCTGGCACGATCTCGGTATCCTTTCGATGCCACGAGATCGCCAGCTAATAAACCTCGACTTGGTCCATTAATTGCCTTCTGATATTTGGCTTCTCGGGGATTTTATGGAGTCATTTGGAACGAGCTTCTTACGCCTTCTGATCTAATTGGCACGTGTATCTTGGTAGCGGTGTTCATAGTTAATCTCAACTCGACGCCACGCTACAATTGGTAATCACAATTCGATTACATTTGGTGACCCGTATTTTGGAACACGCCTCAGCTTCTGGTCAAATCTTCCAAAGAAGCCAATTCGGTGAGTCTATGATTTATCTATCCACGTCTGTCGTATATTTTCATATTTTTTAATATATGATATACGCGACATGACGGATAACGATAAGAATAGTATTAATATAATAGACTCACACGTATGTGTACCGAATCCTTGTCACTTTTTATTCGCGTGATGATGAATTCCACGCTTTATTCGAGAAATGTTACCCTATTAACGATTCTCCTCGCTGACCCGGCTGCTTGGTACGGAATGCATACGCATAAGCATCTCCGTCTACCACCCAGCACCAAATGGTTAAGTTGAACGGTTTCACTGCCAACTTAAAAGTGTTCTACGAGCACACGAAAACGGCAACTGGCACGAAACCATACCGCTCGTTCTTTTAGGGGCGAGAACGAGCTTAAAGGCAGATATCCAATGTTCCGCCACTGAACTTGTATACGGCACGACATTGCGTCTGCCCGGAGAATCCTTCACACCACGGAGCAGACCTAATTTCGGTAAATCAGACAACGTCCGTCGACTGTCTGCATTTATGTGAACGCTGTCTCCGGTGTCAACTCGAATACAACATCGACAGGTCGCTCTCCCTCGAGAGTTATCTACCTGTTCACATGTTTTTGTACGAGTAGATTCGGTACGCAAACCTTGGCAACAACCTTACGAAGGCCCTTTTCACGTGATCGCTCGTCACGAAAAGACCTTCAAGGTTGATCGACATGGACGCGTCGAGATCGTCAGCGTTGATCGTCTCAAACCAGCACACGTCGATGACAGTGCCCTATCTGGTAACCTGAGATTCAATGCTAGACCTATTAAACCTAGCGGGATCCTTAAATCTTCTTCAGGTCCCACGCTAGATGCATCTGAGACCTCATTCTCACGTCCCGGTCAACAGCACGCGTCATCTGCACCGTCTACGGACGAGACGACAGTCTCACGTCCAGATCAGCAGACCACGCCGCCTCTGACCTCGGATGAGATTGCAGGCTCACGCGACGCGAACGAGACTATCGTCTCACGTTCCGGTCGCCGAGTACGGTTACCCGTACGCTTCCGCGAATAGTCGCACAGTCAATAACCGATACGGTGTAGGATTATTCCTATACTACACGTATGCTACACTCTTCTTTTTTGATTTTCTTTTTGTTTCCTGAGCCCACGCCTTCGACCATCTCCGTTTGGTTCCGTCGACTCCAGTCAACTTTGGCGAAAGCTGGCCTGATCACCCACGCTCTTGTCAACGTACTCAGTCGATATATTGGTTTCGAATGCTTGGCATACGCTTGGTCTCGAACTTGGTCGTTACGGTCGCTTATGGTCTTTCGGCTCAACGTGGTTTCGTCCTTCGTCTGCAGCGTTTCTGGTGCGCACCCCTACGAACGCCCTCTTCAGATTCTGGATACAAACCACTCTGGTGTAGCATGCCAACTCAAGCAATAAATACAACACATCGCTCCTGGTACCGTTCTCCGAAAACGACCTTCGTTGGCAACTCGACGATCAACGATCGCTTTCCTGTTCGCCAATTCTTCCGTCCTACAATCGCTCGTCAGCCGATCAGTCCCACGATTCAAACCGCTTTTTATCGAAAGTGTGAACCCTTTCTAGCGGGGGGCTCCTGTAGTGACTCACGTTTATCACGAGAACACGACTGGTTTAATAAAAACAATTATTATTATAACCAACTGTACCAGTGTTTGTTTTAATGTGCTTTTGTTTGACTGTGCTAATGACAGCTATTTTGTGCTTCCATTCACTTACTTACACTTTGATTGTAACTTCGCGCGAATTCGGTTACCTTCTGTAACCAAGGTTGTATCCTGGCACGATCTCGGTATCCTTTCGATGCCACGAGATCGCCAGCTAATAAACCTCGACTTGGTCCATTAATTGCCTTCTGATATTTGGCTTCTCGGGGATTTTATGGAGTCATTTGGAACGAGCTTCTTACGCCTTCTGATCTAATTGGCACGTGTATCTTGGTAGCGGTGTTCATAGTTAATCTCAACTCGACGCCACGCTACAATTGGTAATCACAATTCGATTACACAGGTATAATGTTTTACACAATATATTTCAAACATAATGCACACTAAGAAAGAGATTCTTGGTAGAACGACGCTCGGAACACGAGGAAAAAGGAGGGCTCGATGCAAGTGGCAAGTATACCTAAAGGATTATGACTACACCCCTTACTTGGTATTGAGAAACAGACTCAAGGCCAAAGTTCGAAGAGGTAGGAGGTATTTCCAAGCCAAGCTAGCAGTCAAATACAAGCTAATATAAAATGCACCTTTAGGTTTACGAATAAGTGAAAACCTTCAGACCAGGGCCTGATAATGAGGATTTCGCCAACCTAGGGATGGAAGAAGTCTTTAATACCAGCTCCGCTGACCAATTAAACCAGGAACCTACAAACACACTTGCCCTCCCCATTTTATTTCGACTTCTCGTTTCATAGTTTTAATGTCCATCTGAGTGAATGAGTACCTTAGATAAATTCATCCAATTCAATCGGTATATGGTTTCTTATTACTGCGGTAGCACAAACTAGATTAGTCTAGTTTTAGAATATATTGTCAAGTAGAAGATTTATATTCATAGCATATTCATATTCGGAGTAATATCGGAGTAATCAGAGTAATATGCCAGGTTACAAAAAATGCAAAAGGACCTTAAAACATTAGAGGAATGAACATTAGACATTCAATTGCAGCTAAATTCGTCAAAATGTCATGTTACAGACATTCTGACAAAAAACTCTCACGTTCTCAGTTAGAATTCACTCACGGTTGTCGCTTAAGAGCCTGATCTTGGGTTAGTAACATCAGAGAGCTGGAACATTAGCTCAAAATACATGCGGTGAGGCCAAACGCAACGCTTCATTTTATGCGGGGAAAACTTGTAGGGGTCACCCCAGAATTGTTAACAACACTTTATAACGTAGAGCTGGAAGTTCACAACGTTGTTGCTCCATATAACTTCAAAAGAGATGTAAACCCCCCAGATCAGTAACAGAGACTGCCAAGTAAGTAGGTCAAGGGACCAAGAAATAAATGTCATGAAAAAATACTCCAGCACCTGGGATTATTCTCGATAAGCTATTTCAGAGTAAGATTGATCTGATAATAACATACAGCATATTAAATATGCCAAGTCACCCCAACAAGGCATATTACTAGGACGTCATCATTACACCAATCGGAGCAACTCCTAAAAGATCGAAAATCAGAGAGTGAAACTCCAGGTACGCTTTCACATTTTCGGAAAGTGTCGTCTCCATTTGGAATGCTCTCCCAGATGAAACGACCACAGTCCCCTCAGAGCACAGCCTTAAGAAAATATTTGATAAACACCTACACACCCGTGAATGATTGTCTCTCGCATGGATCAGCTTTGCCTTATCCATGTCTCTCAACCTACCTGATGATATCATTATTACGAATCACCAAACTACCCCCATATCGCTTTTCATTGTCTCGGTCCCCCTTTTACTCTTGCACTCCCGTCTTCTCATACCTTTCACTACTGATTAATTAATTTTTTCATTTAGCTGGTTAGTCCTTAGAACAACGTTCTCTTCCAGGGTCCTAATTTTCGTCGAGTTATTTTTCACATCCCAATCAACCAATCTCCTACCTGGTAAAGAAATAGCTGCTGATATCCAGAATACCTAATACCTCTTTCATTGTGTTGTTTCTTTATTTAAAGAAGGTAGAAAAAGGAAAGCTTGTATACGCCTATCACGGAAATGGAAACCTTTTGATGTTTACAGAAATTCCGGTAGGTTACAATCATTCCTAATTTGTAACTCTTTCACAAGTCCTGTTTATAAATGAATCAACATATGCTTCAGTTGAAGCGAACAGGACGAGAGCACTTGATCAAGACAGCTAGACCTAGTGCGCGGTAGTCCACCTCCGGTAATACAATGGTTGTCAGATTTGTTATTACGGTTGCCTACTAGAAAGATAGGACGCAACTTGTGAAGTATTCCAATCTGTCAGTGGAAACTGGATATTCCTCGTTATTAGTGAGAGATTAGTAAGGTCACATCAGAATTGACGGGCGCGCCTTTGAAAACATTCATCCGTGCATCTAATATAGTGGTGATAGGTAGGTCATCAGCTTTTTTAACCTTCTGCCTTTCATATCAAACAGATTATTATTGTCAAGTAAATCCGAACCGCTCGCTAGGTACATTTTAGACTATACAGTCGTTAGTTCTAGCGATTTGACCAGTATTCTCAGTTATGTGAAACAAAACTCGCCAGCCAGGAAATTAAACTGGACGACCAAACAAGCGGTGTAACTTTTTGAGGGCCTGAATATTAGCTTGTTGTTTGGATCTGAAGTAACACCACCGTGGACAGCACGAACTTGAATTATCAAAGACCATATCCGTACCTAAGGAAACATTTTCTCTTCGAGAAATTTATTTTTACCATTTGATACAAAACCTTGACCAATTCAAATATCCTATCACTGTTTCGTTTGCAGTTTCATATTTTTTCATCAAAGATCCTGTACACAAAAAGAAACTCTGAATGTCCGGTAAGTCTGTCGGTCTGTGCTTATTCTGCCTTAGATTAGCTGAGAAATTAAACAACCACCTGTCGTTTATGGTACTTATAATTCTGGAGAACCATTACGAATAATTATGGACAGACACCGTTAAAACTCAAAGATAAATTCAAGGTATCAGATAATTTATTTAAGCGAGAAGAAAACAACCAAAACGATGTTTCTGTATGAATCAAAAAATAATTGAGTTCAAATAAGAATCGAAAAGAAAGTAACCATCACATTATGCCGAATTGTTAATATGAATCAGAAAATTGTTGAAAAATATGACAGACATTTTAGCACAATTCCTCAATAATGACCAGATGATATCATTTGCCTCAATATAAAGAGATGAGGTAAATAAAATCAAGCTTAATTACTGATTTTTCTTAGAAGCGTTTTGTTGCTGGCTGTAGTTTTCAGTTGGATAGGGAGGTGGCTGATTATGATTATCTTGAGTGTTACCCGGATAAGATGGGGGGTTGCCTGGATAATTTGGAGCACTAGGTTGTACATATACACTAAAAGGATCTTCTGGAAAGTAGTAACCTCCACTTACAACATTGGCAGGACCATTGAATGCAACAGCTTCATTCGATTTAGCTAAAATGATACATGTTAAAAATATAACAGTTAGGATCTAACCCAATCAACAAATAAACATTATCTAAGAAAAAAACAAGCGTTGAAAAAGTAGGCTGAAGATCAAGAAATAATTTTGCAAAGACTATTATTATGTGGAAGCTATGAAACACATAATGTGGACATAATCTAAATTATTATTGAACAGAGAAGCATGAAATTTATTAGGACAGCATTACTCCTGAAGTAAGTCACTATGATAAGTATGTTTATGAATAATTACGAGTAGAGTGAAGCAGAACTATAAACTAAATTACTATTGCCACGAATAATTTCTATAAACACAATTCATTAACCGTAAAACATTTCGGTGTAGTAGCTAATGTATAATCCTTAGCTGGTTTATCCAGTACAAGACTAATTATATCCAGGTTGAAAATAGCTGCCAGTTCTAGTAACATTAATTTGAAACGTATGAAATAGTTTTCAGATACGAGTATAAGGTCTGCTCGAGTAACAAACCTTAAATTCAACATAGCGAACAACTTATAGTAACATACTAGCATTCACTTTCTATTTAAATGCTTTAAGATAGATATTTTCTACTCAAGTTCACTGCCAAACAATCATCACAGTAATGTTTTAATATAAAAGGCTGATAACATTAAAAAGAAGGTTATATAATACAAATGAAGATGATGAAGATTTATAGCTCAGGTGGGTGAGTTAGGTTTTCTTCTCTGATCTGGATGGTTTGGTTGTGGAGCCTTTCATTGTTCTTCTGAACAAAATCATCAGCACAAACTTCTATCTGAAGGGGTTGCTGATAGGATCACCTGATAGGTTTAACGTGGCTATATATATTGTTACCATATTTTGTTCTATCTACACTTTGAATCATTCTACATGGATGTAGTGAATGTCTAAAACATAAGAGATTACGGATAAACCTATGAATATAATTGGATCGTATGCTCACTAAGAGTATTTTGATAGCACCAACTCTTTTCAGATTACGAAATCGGATTTTCCCTTAAAAGTGAGAACTTGATAAGTGATAAACTCTTAAAATAAAATAATTTGAAATACAAAATCCCTTACATTCATATTTTGAGTTGGTAACTGGATATGGTGTATTCCCTCCTATAGTTGTCGAGGTAGTAGGATAAGGTGTTGTGTACTGACTTGTACCAGTAGGTCCAAAATCATTAACCATTGTGGTAGGTGTTGCACCAGGATATGGAGGTGGTGCTCTGACTTGGTAGAGTGTTTCTGCTGTAAAAAATAAAAATTTACGAAAACAGTGAGACATTGTATATAAATGAGGGGCTAATTTATTGTAAACGTTACAGAATTAATAATTCTTTTCTATTTTGAGGGAAATTCTACCTTCCTCTATATATGTAGGTCATTCATTCGAATCAATTGTTAGTTAATAATGTTAAGATCGCCTGTACAAATTTAATAAATAAAATTAGTGGGTCCATTTTAAAATGGTTGTAGTTTGTCTCAATGTAAAGTCATAAACTCACATTAGTTTTATTAAATCGATTCAATTAGGAAACTAAACTATGAACATAAAATGATACTACTACTACTACTAATATTAGTTTTAACAATTATTTCAGTCAGCCATGGGCAATGTAGACTCTAACACTTATGTGCATCGGCAAAACCTGCTATAGTACATCAGAACAAGGTAAAACTATTTCAAGAAAAATCCCAAAGTAGTAGTTGTAGTAACATCATAATCAGAAGTAGTAGAAAACAATGAGATTTCGGGACTCAATTTCTAAACGAAGACAAAAAATAAACACATCTATGTCACTAGGAACGATTCTGAGCCGAATCACTTAAGGCCTCTAACCAACAATTAATTGGTACAATAACAATGATAATATAAGCTTAGATAAGTAAAAAAGTTGTATTTACTTGCTTTCATTAATCAGTAAATATGAAGAACGAGTTGATAAGAAGATCGAGGGAGAAGATACTACTTACCTTGAGGTACAGTGAATGCTTCATGTGGTCGTACAAATCCATAGTATGGATCATTGTAAGGCGCGGAATAAGCTGGTGGTGGACAAGCATAATACTGACCTGCACCATTCATATCTGCTACAGATGAATATGCATTTGGCGGTTTGAAATGTTGTTTTGCAGAACATGCACGTCTGCCTAGTTCGATTAACGTTGTGCCAAATTCAATTGCCCCACCTTTTTTGAATGTTAGTGAGAATTTCGCTTCACCCTTAGAAGAAAAAATGAGCGAGACACTTTGAATGTATGATGAAAATCTGGGAAATATAACAAATAGTAAACCAGAATACAATAAATGGAATTAAGACTTGGTGATATTAGACTCTAAGCGATTGGGTTAGAAGTTGAAATTACAATTTGTTTACTTATACGTTTACGTAGCAGGGTATTATCACTTGCTAAAAGCCTATAACACAAAATTATACATGTGTTTATTGAAGTGTATTGAATAATTAGATAAAACTATGATAAACTGCTAAGACGATAAGATTTGGGGAAGTGGATATTAAGTTTCATTGTAACGATCTATACAGTGTTACTGACTATCTCAATCACATTTCAAATAAGATTATGGAATATTTACAACTTGTTCAATGGACCAGAAAAAAGACAACCGACGGAATATGGATATATTTGTTCTGGTGATGATGTTCACACTATAGATTAATTCTCAGGCTAATCATGTTATGAGTAATGTACAGGGAATAGAGGAATACTCTTACTACATAAAAATGATTTCGTTGATCTGTTGATGAACGTACTCATGGGGAAGTCTTAACTATGTGAAAACATAAAAAAACTATTCATAGACCAGAAGAAAATCGATTACGATTGATATAGATGAGTTTCTGTACTGTATATGTACTTTTAGTTTTACGCATTAAAACCTGAGTGTGAATATTGACCGATTCTTAAAATAAGTATACGTTTTATTTCTGTTACATTTTAACAGTAGACCAGTACATTAACCTTGAAAGTCACAGTATCATAAGAGGTCATTAGTCTAACTTAAACAATCATTAGTTGTTTTAGTTGTATTACTTACAAACGTGAAGTAAAAACAACCGCGACTAATTAGTCTACCATATAACAGGAAATTTCGAGTTAAAAATGTTCAAAAAAGAATTTAATACATTAGACAAATGACGAAACCTTCAAATCAAAAATGGCTTGGTAAATATTCACTGAATAGTTCAACTAATAATAAATGAGAAGTATGAGGTATCATTCATATCTTTGTGATGATTTCATAATATTGATAAATTGTGTTATACATCTACCAAGTCTGATGACTTCACATAGTAATGAACAATATTTTATATTTTAATGGTTGGAAACAATCGACAGGAGGCTGAGGAAAATTAGTTTTACGAGAATTTATGCATTGCTAGAGGTATATTTAAATTCTATAGTCAATTGTTTCACTGGTGAAAGTAATACGATGGTTGATACACTGAATTATTTATTATAGGAACAAGTGATCATATCATCTAAGAAATACAAACTTATTGCATATAAACCTGTATTTGATAAATGAATTACACAGGTTTATGATTACTTAAAAACATCTGTGTCCATTACAAAACATTTATTGGGCAAAAGGATGTTCTAAGTAAAACTAATTACAGATCAGCTAGTCTAGTGATGTGTTACATATAGTGAATCTACTTTGTAACTCCAACAATCAATGGATTGTGAAAACACATGATTTTAAATTACATACGTGGGATTAACGTGAGCTCAAAAATTAGGATTTTAAGGAGGTAGGAGGATCAATCAAAGATAGTAATTAATTTACCTGCCAGCCACCATTCGGTTCAGCCGTAATTATGCCTTCTACACGATTCGCACCAAACACAGGTTGTTTAATGTCAACCTCTTTCATATTAACAAATGGCATACTGAATGATAGTACGCCTGATGACGCTTTTTTGTTGATAAAAATCACCTGTTAAAATTTGGTAAAGATAATTATATGAAATTAGTTACTCTATGTGAAGTCAGGTACAAACGTCCCATATGTGAAAACTTGAGAAACTGACCCTCGAGTTCTACATGACATCCATCGTAATAAATTAACATCCTGAAACACGACAATTGATTTACTTAAAACCTCGATTTGAGCATATACCTTTCTCCATAAAAAAGAATGACACCATTGCCGTTTGCGGAATGACTTTGATTCATAGACATTTCGATATGGTACCTAAGGGCGAAATAGGTGGAAAATGAATTGGTATAATAGTTTGTTTATATGTATAGATTTGAAATTGTAGACCAATAGACTAGGCGATTTTCTTTTTGCTATCAGATTGGGGATTTGAACCACCCCAGCTAGGATAGTCACACAATATTAAATATTATAATATGCATCAGCTACAGTCGAGAACACAAATCTATGTGATTATTGGGTTGCATCTTCTAGCACAGACAACGATAAGCGCATACTAGCCCAAGCGACGTGGTAATAATAAGTGGATTGACGACTTTATGCTCTGATAATTCCAAAAAGTAACCCCAGTGTAACTGAATTTTTAACAAAACAACTGATAGTAATTATCAGATATGTAAGCACGATTTGAACATAGCGAGATGAAATTAACAAATATAAGAAATTAATTGAATTAGACATTTGGACGTGTAGTAAAATAAGAAGCAAACAATTTAGGAATTCCATGTTAATCGACAAGTTAGTCAGTCACAGACAACATAGAATCTGGCAGAAACATGTATTTAACCAAGTTCCTACATGTCAGAGTAGCGATGAAAGACAAATCAAAAACGAGGAAAAACAGAAGAGGAATAACGATATCAATTATAGGAAGATTAACATAAAACATATTTCAAAAGGAACAAAAGAAGCAGAAGAGTTTAAAGTTTTAAAGAACGCTACGCTGAAAACTTAGAGGAAAGTAAATAATCAGTAAATCTGAGTAGTTAGAATCAGCCTTGAACTCACCAAGCCAGGAAGTTCACAGTTTGATGGACCGATGTTACACCTCGGTTTGGTTGACTCTAGCAATTACATAACCTGCTCCTTTGATAATCGCCGTTTAGTTTTCGATTACTGTCTTTAAGAACTTCTAGAATCAGAATGCGATGTTTCGATGTTCCGTATCGCTTTAAGTTTGTTAGAGACCTCTCGAATTCCGTAGGTTTGTCGTCAAGATACACTGATAGCCTGAAAGTGACAATCATAGTTACCTAACTTACGTTGTTTCCATTTCGAAATGTTCCTACATGGCTACTATCAAAGAAGGCCTACTCACTGTCTTCTTGTAGCATCGTTGTTGTTTACGAAATTGAGAGGAAGTGGAGCGAATGTCCGGCGCTTTAACCGGGTTGGTGGATACTGAGGATCCACATAGCGGAGTGGGAAAACCCTGATTCCATACCAACGGTGCACATGGGCTCCACGATCCCGAGGGAACAAATGGAGTATGAACTTATTGTTGGTCACCGGCTGCTATGGGACTGCATCTTCTAACGTTGCTCTAGTGCCTTGCGGATTAGACCTTTGGGCCAAAAGCACGGAGATTGGCCCCCTAAAAAAGCACCTGCTTCGGTCCGAGAACCCGAGAAGCATTCCAGCCCTTAAACAAACTGAATCATTTGTGTGGCGCATCCATGTACCAATGTTTATGCGTTTAAATAAATAAATAAATATTAAATAACTTACGTTGATTCATGATAGTAAATTTCAACAATATCCACAACGTCCATACTAATAATTATTACTTGAGTTTATATTTCAATAAAACTATATGTTTAAACTTGACTTAATGGTTCTTATTATTTGAAAACATAGATATTGGTACAAGGAGGCACCAAATACATATGCGCCACACAAATCTCATTTGATTTGTGCGAGGGCTGCGATACTGTCCGGATGCCCAAACCGAAGCAGGGGACCACACCTGGAGCCTTTGACCTAAAGGTCTGATCCACAAGGCAGTGGAGCATCGTGAGAAGATGCAGTCCCATGGTAGCCGGTGACCGACGATTGGTTCATACGCTATTTGTTCCTTCAGGATCCTGGAGCCCATGCGATGACAACTTTTGAGGAGATTCAGCACCGACTTTGTTTACATTCAATTTAGTGAGTATATACAGGAAAACTATGATCAGCAAATGTCATAATTTAGGGTCCCTCTGAACTTTTATAGAGAGATAAAACCGAAAACATAGACGGCTACTGATTAGGGAGTGAATTTCACACTATGAGAGTTATTGTTATCATTACACCTGCAATCTCATGAAGACTAGATAATGAATCCGCAGATATTCGACGAATCACACTAAATTAAACTCGGTGGTTAAAATCAAGTGCGTATATTCGGTGATACAAAAAAGTCGATAGTGTGACGAAATAAAAGAGAAGAGCAGTACAACCATTAAGTAGTATTTATTAAGAGATGTAGATTAGTTAAAAGTATAACCAAGAAAACTAGCAGAAAGACCATCACTCAATTATGAAGGATGCAATAAAATGCTGCAGAACGATTGGTATTAACTTTTACTGAGTCATATCTGACAACGTCCCTAGTATCCGAGTTGAACAGTAATTAAGACCCCGACTGGAGAACCCTGATAAGTCAACAGATGTCAGTCTCTTAAAATTATTTTTCATACCACAGCTATTATGAAATGATCGCTGTTGGTTTTCCTACCCAATTCCAACATCAGCAAATAATGGGGGTTATAAAAGTCTCTCGGATGATACTTGTGAAATATAACCAAGTTACCGAAGTCGATATTTCAAGATGGTGACACTAATTGAATCACATATCGTCGCTAGATGTCAGAAATGTATGTCCGATAAATATGTTATAACTCCAGGTATATCCTGGCGGATTTGATATCGAGAATGAAAACTGACCCAATATGATTTTCGAACTATCGAAACAATTTTATAGTGGTTGTTGTGCTAACTCAGTAATAAGTTAAATCATGAAATACCAAAGGAATCAGTGGTTCATCATACAGGATGTTGTGCGCTATGATAAATGATAGCCCACAACTATTAAATTAGTTCGTCAACCGATATTCAAATCAGCAAAGTTAAATGTTACAAAGAAAACGTATTCCCCAATCTTTCTGTCGAATTTATCACCATCCCAAATTGATGTCAAGTTTAATAAAATAAAATAGCAGTACCTAGGTTAACTAACCGGAGTAAAAACTCTGTGTTTCTATTTATTTATTTAAACATAAACATCGGTACGAGGAGGCACCAAATATATATGCGCCACATAAATGACTTAGTTTGGCTGGAATACTGCCCGGGTGCCCAAAATGAAGCATGTACTTTTTTAGGGGACCACTTCCCGAGTTTCAGAAGAGACCTAAATCATAGAATACCTGATTTTAAACGTATCGTTTAATAGTTATATTTGGGTTTCACTTTAGATATGCTCTTGGAGGTCAAGCATTTCTTATTTGGCTTTCCAATGGCTGACGTCATGTGTGGAAAATACCTTGTTGGATTGAAAATCAAAGATGGTATTATCATGATTGCTGAAAGTGAGGATGAAATGCAGCTTTCTGCAGACTCTAGGTGGCAACAAAAGAATTTTCGACGTACACTTAACCTATTCTGAGTACAAAATGTTTTGAATTCGGTCGATCAATGCTTAGTTTGACGCTAGGCACAGTAGCCGAGGGTATTGATTTTTGATGTCATATGAGCTGCTGTAGGTTGGTGAGTGACCAGACCTCCATACAGATAAAAACCCCGTTTGCCCACTGACAACCTATACATGGGGCAGACAAGATATTTACTACCTTGTCAAAAAGCGATTACACTGTAAGGTATTTAAGTATTTATCTCTCTACATTGGTGAAGCATTAAATGAAAAGACGTGCAGGTTGCACGTGTTTGATTTGCCTTCTGAGCACTTCTCGAATGTATTACGGGGAACGAATGGCCGGAATTTGTCAGTAGTCTGAGTACTTTAAAGTAGACTTCATTTTAGTGCTTTAATAATGCTAATGATTGCATTCAGTGACATAAGTCCACAAGTGCAATAGTTTTATGTGTTACGAGTCAGGTGTTCTCACTTTTTCAAGACAGTAATAGATTTGGATGCAGCAATCAGGTTTTGACCTGTAAGCAGGTCTCAACATAAATCCACTAATTTTAGTTTGGTTAAGTGGCTAGTACTAACTAGTAGAGAGTGTCTAAGACGGAGTTTAGGAAGCTGCTGTAAACTCTTATCAGCTTGCAAACATACAAGAAATACAGAGTTCCAGGATTTTCTTCAGAGTTTACAAGTTAGAGGAACACTCTGAAGGTGAATTCACTAATGGTAGGTAAAAGCAGTTTATATTGGTGAAAATGAGCTTACGAAGATCGGAAATCTATGTGAGCGATTTAAGGGAAAGTAGTGGTCTGAAGCCATGGTTAAGTGCGATTTAGAACCTTATTAAACAGAATACATATGAGTTTGTTGTGATTGAGAAGGGACGTTCTCACAGTGCTCAGCCGACAGAGCTACCTAAATCAAAAGCTCATACCTTAGTTCATCTAACCACCCTAAGACAGTAGTGGGGAATATCTAAGTAACATGGAATAAACATACAACGTTAACAAACGAACAGACCAGATTTGAATACGCCGAAAAAGCCGCCTCCAGAATAAAGTAAATTGGCCGCGATGTCGCAAAGCAGTTAAAACGACACTGAAAAATGATTAACGTAAATTAAATAAAAAATTCATGGAACGTTATCTACCGAGCAGTTTACTTTGGAAAATCGCAGGTCTTTATTGCAATTATGAATTATGAATTGACCATTCACATAACGATTCTGTTGGGTGGACGTTATCTTAACTAGATTCGTTTGCCTGCTGTACATACTGATCATGAATGGCCTGAAAGCCATTGAAGAGCAATTGTCTATGTCGGAAAATGCAGCACTTGCATCACCTGAACTGTCTGAAAGACATTCTGTGGATTATGATGGACCTTTAAACATATTTTACACATGCGATTGTGAACTTAAAAGCGTTCTTGTTAACTTGAGGAATGCGGTGATATGTCGATCAGCGAAACCTCAAGTCATGAAGGGCACATCGTCACTCCTTGTTTTCAAACGTCTACCATCAAACGTAGATCATGACTCTTTTCGGTAAGTTGATAGTTTATTATGTGCTTACTCGTTTACTTACCAAAATAAATGATGTATTCACGGATAATATTGTTAAAAGCGGTTCATTATTCGTTTAATTTAGTGATAACAATGCACATCCATATAACGTTCAAGATAGGCCATGTTGAAGTGGAACACTTTCGTTGAATGCTTCACGAAAACAGTAATATATATTTCAGTTTGAAATCACTTGAGATTAGGAAAATATTTATACTTAACTCAAGCTTAATTCTATTCCACTTCTCTACGTCACTAACTAAGTTTTTATATCTTCAGAAAATTTAAATGAGTGACCATGAAAATACATCATGAAATTCATTTTAGCTAGAATTTAAAGGATAATGCTACACATGACGTCAGTAGTCGATCACCGAAATACTAACAAGCGTATTCTTTGTTTTTATATTGACAAGATGACTAAATTCTAATGGAATGAAAACCGTATATAGGAAAATCTTTCAACAACCATTTTCGGTCATTACTTTTACTGCTTGATTTTAGTTTATATAAGAAGTGTACAATTAACAATGTGCATTTATTTTCGAAATATGTTTTCATTTAAAATTACTCAGAGGCTGAGGATCTGAAAAAAATATTTAAAGTTTTCATTTTACAATAATTCGTTTCATACTGATTATTCAGGTTGCCCAATTTGTCTTTTATTATAGTTATGGATAAATAAATATTTCTAGATAGTGTTATACGTGAGTTCGTAAATAGTTCTTAAATAAGTAATATATTTGTAATATCTAAATGAGTAGAAAAATTAGATTTTCTGACGTTTCGTAACTTACTGTAATCTACTTCTTCAGAGAATAAATAACCAAACCAAAATTGGTTATTTATTTATGCCAATCTACCCAATGCTAAATTTATTCGAAATTATCAAGTCAAACCTTGGTAATGATACTTGCAAACTCATTAGTAAATAGTTCATGTTTTTCATCAAAAGAAATAAATTATAGTCTTAATAATTAACATTGAATTAGTAAAAATAAATACTGAATGCAATGTTGAATGAAGATTTTGCTGAACTAATATAAAATAATATTGTTGTATAGTCGACAGTTGTGATGTGATAGACAAAAGTAATGCATTCATCACTAGTACTTCTTTTAATTTTTTGAATAGGGTTCAAACTTGTCTTGATTCGAGCTAACAATAGTAGTCTTTGTATGTAAGAGATATTGATTACATCTTTGATTTGACAGAAAACGACATGAAAAATGGTTCTATTAATTTTTATACCACTATTGTTTTAGTGATTTTATTGATTTTTAAAAAAATGTTTATTTGACGAGACTATAATCTATGAACGAACCAATCATATTTAAGGTGGCAGATCTTGGATTTTGGCGAGAAATTCATTCACTCATTTAGCTAAATACCATTTTGGTATTATAGTTGATGTCAGTTCATGATGAAAACATTACATCTAATTCCTAATTCTAACATTCAACAGTAAATCTTTATCCTAACTCATCATAGCTGGACCAGACAACATTCCAGCAAAGGCACTAAAAGCAGACGTAGCAGTAACTGTAAAGATACTCAACATTCTCTTCAGCAAAATTTGTGATGAAGAACAAGTACCAACAGACTGGAAAGAAGGACATTTAATCAAGATACCGAAGAAAGGCTATCTCAGCAAGTGTGAGAGCGACAGATGCATCACTCTTCTCTCAATACCAGGAACAGTCTTCGACAGAGTATTGTTAAACAGAATGCAGGACATATCACGACAGCATCACTGACGAGTACGGGGGGATCTGATGCAGATGTCAAAGCGCGGATCGGCAAAGCAAGAGCAGCATATCTACAATTGAAGAACATCTGGAACTCAAAACAACTGTCAACCAACACCAAAGTCACAATTTTCAGTACAAATGTCAAGACAGTTCTACTGTATGGGGCGGAAACTTGCAGCACTGAGAAAGCCATCATCCAGAAGATACAAGTGTATATTAACAGTTGTCTACACAAAATACGTCAGATCCGTTGGCCAGACACTATCAGCAACAACCTACTGTGGGAGAGAACAAACCAGATCCCAGTGGAGGATGAAATCGGGAAGAAGCGCTGGAAGTGGATAGCACACACATTGAGGAAAGCGCCCAAGTGCGTCACAAGGCAAACCCCCATCTAGGACCCTCAGGGCCAAAGGAAGAACATTTTACGTCGACAAATTGATGAACAGTTTCATACAGTTTGACTTTCTAAACTAAACTATATGTCATTTCCATATTTTATTATTTTTAAAACATTTTTACAAAGTGATATTTTTAAAAGAATGTTAAATACAATAGTTACTATTGTGGTGTAGGTTACCCATATCCCCATAAGTAGTATAGAATGGTGGGCAGGAATAGGATGTATTTCAGTAGAAGATCGATAAGGAAAACACGGGAATGGAACGCAATCGGTATGAAAATGGATGAACAATGAAATATGAGACAATGGGCTGATATTTGAAAAAGGAACAGTCAGGTTTGAGATGATGTGTTGATAGTTCGCAAACTAACAATTTACCGGATGGTTCTCATATTTTAGTGAGATGATCTGTAATTTCGTGTCAAATACATTCGCTTGTCGCCACTCGCGTTCTTGTTCACCATACTATTACTTAGTTATTCAGTCCGTCACAGATGACATAGTCTGTGATATGAATGTATATATATCCTTGGTGTCATATGAAAAATCAGTATAGGATGAGAAGAAACTAATAAAATAAAAACGGACTAGGAAAGAATAACAATATCACTTGTATTATGAAACTAAGCAAAAGATGTATGATACGAAACGTTCAAGTGAAATGAAATGTTTGCGCTCATGTAAACTTCCACCTTCTCTTAAAAACCTTCGACGCATCACAAAATCTCACATAGAATCTACAAAGTTACTGGTTGAACGTTTGAGGACAGAAACTAATGCCTTTGATGAATTAGTTAACGATATGAGTATCGTATGTCGCATAAAATTTATCAATTTTATCCAAGCATTGCAAAACAAAATAAGCAAGAACTTCCTCGTAACTTTGTCCAAGACTCTATCAAAGGAACAACTTTGTTTTGGCTTCCCAGAAAACCCTGAAAATTCCCTCTACAATCTGTCAACAGTGAAGTTAAATCAGATAGAAACAGAAGCCTTGTCTCTTGGATTTAAATTTCATATCCCCAAAACACATGCCGAAAGAACCGACACAGAAACTCAATTTGAGAATTTATTTGATCAAATTAAAGAGTTGCACCCAGTTAGCGAAGAAAAGAAAGGCTGGTTTAAATCTAAACTAGTCGATATCGCAAACCAATACCTCGTCTCACCCACACCGCAATCTAAGCTTTTATCCAAAGAACACCTAACAGCATTACGAAATATTAAACGAAATGATGATATAATGATATTACGGTCAGATAAAGGTTCAAGTGTTGTCCTAATGAACACAACAGATTATGTCCCTAAGATGAATTCCATTTTGAGTGACCACACGAGATTCAAGTTGGAAAAAAGTAACAAAGACTTAACTGACTCCACCGAGAAAAGAATAACGAAAGTACTCAGAGACCTACTGAAAAAGATGATCGACAATTCTACTTACAATAACCTACGACCTCGTGGGTCTCGTTTGCCCCACATGTATGGTCTACCGAAAATACATAAACAAGATAATCCTCTTAGACCTATTATGTCAATGGTCAATTCACCATACCAGAAAGTTGCAAGATGGCTGGCAGATAAATTAGAACCACTTCGTCAACGATTAGCCACTTATACACTGAAGGATTCATTTGTATTTGCTGATAGCATGAATCACATGAATATTGCTGGTAAGTTTATGGTTTCGTTTGATGTGACATCATTGTTTACAAAAATATCACTTCTTGAAACCATAGACATAATTTGTCAACATCCTGATATCCTACCTCTACCAGCAATAGAATTCAAACGTCTATTACTCTTGTGTACAAAAGATGTTCAGTTCCAGTTCAACAATACTATATACCGACAAACCGATGGTGTAGCAATGGGAAGTCCGTTAGGCCCCGTCCTAGCAGACATTTTCATGGCTAACCTCGAAAGAACCAAGCTCAAAGGAGCGATTGATGAAATGATGTATTATTCGAGGTATGTTGATGATATATTCATCTTATGTAATAATCAACAACATGCAACAAATCTGTTAAAGTTTTTCAATGAAGCTCATCCAAATATTCAGTTCACTATGGAACATGAAAAAGAAAACATGTTCCATTTCCTCGATATAGCGATAAAACGAAGAAAGGATGGCACAGTTCAACGCTCAGTTTATAAGAAAGACACATGGAATGGTAGGTATCTCAATTTCAACAGCTTTTGTCCAATCAATTATAAAAAGGCGCTTGTTAAAACACTGTTTCATAGGACAGAGAGAATATGCACTGCAGATACAATAGAAGAGGAAATTATGAATGTTAAAAAGTGTTTAAGAAATAACGGATACCCATTGAAATTCATTGAGAAATATGGAAAACGTGAAGATAAAATACCCAAAGAAAATACAGTAAATAAAAAACCTGTTTTTATTCAACTCAAGTTCAAAGGCGATAATGTCACAGGGTCAATGAATATGAGACTAAAAACTGTACTGACAAAAACATATCCTGCAGCTAAATTGATTGTCCTGTCCAAAACGACATGTTCTTTGACACAATCAAAGGTCGACAGGTATCCCTTTCATGTTACCACCAACTGTGTATACAAATTTACATGTATCTGCCAAAGCAGTTACATTGGTAGAACAGAAAGGAGAGCCTACGTCCG